AATGCCGCACAGTAACCTTTTTTTGATTGGGCGCAGATGTATCGCAGCGGAGAAGCTGCGCACAATTTAATTTATATAGCGCACAGTAAATTTTATAGATTGTGCGCGTTCCGCACAGTGATTTTTTATTGAAAAATAAACACTGGTGGAATTTATTGTTTTGGTTAACATATAAAAACACGCTATTTTTGTTCATCATCTATATCTAAATATAATGGTTTTTTCATGGTTATCAAGTTAATAAACATGATATTATAAAGAGATCTGTAATACAAAGGATTTATTAAACAATTAGACGTTTTAAAGATGTAAAATCAATCTATACTTACAAGATTGTCTCACTGTCTGATAAAAAGCAAAACGTTTTACCAATTCTAGTTTATCAATATTATTAATTTGATATTTACAAAATGCGTCAGTAACATTGTATCCTTCGATAAACTATTGAAAAGGCAAAGCAGTGATCAATTAAAGATAGCGTCTCAATTAGTTACAACAGGTGACAAATAAGTATCATAATGTTGCAATGAATTACAACGTTATTAAAATTTAAGTTGCAACAGGTAATAAATAAGCGTCACAATATTGCAACACCATCTTTAGCAGTGATCAATACAGAAATATTTTTTCAGACTTGATGTAGATTTGTAAAAAGAGAATGGTAAACTTACATCTTTCTACAAAGAAATATCACAGAGATCCTGACAAATTAATAGATATGCTTCACACATCATTTTTTTGTTAGTCACGATATCTCCATTTTGCATATAGATTAAGTTAGCCATTAGAAAAACTGAAAAATACATCCATTTAACACCTCATTATTTCTATAACTTGTTCATTTCTTTCTTTTTTTTTTTAAGTGCGACAGTCTCACATGATCTTTATTAATATTTATGAAATTACAAGAAAAACAAAATAAAACAGAAAATACAAAAATATCTATAAACTAATCTAGTGAACTAAACTACTTTATCAATACCAACCTTACACTTTTACCGAACTAAACTATACATCAGAAAAGAAAAGGAACTAATCTAAACTAAAATACAGATATCGAACGTCTGAAAGAGAGGGCGTGGTTACTGCCATACCAAAAATTTGACCAGTGAGAACCAAAAGCAACAGCTGTTGAGAAAGAGGAGAGATTACTTTAGGGGTTTGTGTAAGTTTCGGGAATCCAGAGGATACCTAAGCAACAGTGAAATCATCTTTGATATTGTTTGAAGTTTTCTAAAGTTGTAGTGTTGCGCATCTTGTCAACCATATATCGTAGGCTGATAAGAAAATATTATTGAATAAGAATGATAGTAAATTGCAGGTGAGTTGTTTGTTATGTGTGATGGAGTTGATCGAAGAGGAAAATGATGAAGGGATGATTCCTTTTAAGAGATCAATAAAACATAGGTTGTTGTTGAAAGAGTTGCAATACCATATTGAAGATTGGTCAATACAATCGATTTGAGCGTCATTGTTAGATTTATTAAGTTCTTTGAGGTGAAATAAGAATGACTGCTTGTATTTTTGGATTATATCAGTAAGAGAAGTTGTATTTTTGGGGTAAGACCAAATATGATTGAAGTCTTCAACTGCATTATTACAGCGGAAACAATTATTAGAGGTATAGATTTGAGGATACCGTGCATTTATGATAGTCAGAGTGGAGAGTAACTGTAATAATAATTTAATTTTGAATTGTTTTCTTTTGCATGCATCGAATGATGTTACCCTAGTATTTTCTGAATCATTGAGAACATAAAAAAGAGTCTGCCAATCAATGTGAAAGTAGTTATATTTGGCAAGTTGGGGTAAGGTTAAAAAGGTGTCAGCCCAAGATGCTTATTATAAGTTTTTAATAAATAAACGAGGTGGCGTAATGACTGGTGTATTTTTATAACTTAGGAAGTATCTAGAACTAAAATGATTATTGTTAATACTCAACAGGACACCAGAAAGTTGTTTTGCTAAGGCATCTACTCTATTGTTAAATTGATCTGAACTATGAGCTTTGACTTTTGTTAGTGATAACACAATATTGTTGGTTATAATAAGTTGTATTAGGATCATTCAAATATGAAAATATGGAATTTTGAAAGCAGGGTTCAGAGAGGGAGATTTCTTGTATATGGTGATGATTTTGTGATATGAGGCAATTGCAGCTTGTGAATCTGTACAGATTTTAATGTTGGAGTTAGGTGGAACGATATAGGTTGCAGCAAGAATAGCAACTATTTCTGCTAATGTTGAAGAAGGAGAATGTAAAACAAGTATTGCATTAAAAGAGAGTAAAGGCCAATTTTGATCAGTTTGTAACTATGCTATTTCCATCTGGCAGTCAGGAGATCTTAAGGATGTAAGAGAACCATCTGTATAAAATTGGAGAATAATAGCATTAGTAAAATGTGATTTGAAATAATCTAATTTATTGATGGATGTTTGATCAAATGGTAGAATATCTAAGTTAGGTAGAGGTTTAGTTGGATATTGATAAGGAGATATTAACGTTGATAAGGTGACTTCACAAAGCATAAAGTGAGAGAGACTACACCACCATCCCTTGCGAGGTTTGTGAAAAACTTTAAATATAGAACAGAATGATTTGGATAATCTAATGGCACAAAAATGATGACGTTGTTGTTGTTTGTAAAATATAAAAGCTGAATGATCAAAAAGATTATATCTAGTACAAAGGGCAATGGGTGTTTGAAGGCAATCAGCTTGGTTTGGCAAATAATATTATGCATGGATGGTAGTATCTTCGATTTTGACTACTTTGCTTAATATGAATGTCATATACTGGTTAGACTAAATTACAATAAAAGTTGGGTTAGTTGCTGAAGCGTTAAAGTTGGTCAGTTGAGTTGATGCTTTGATGAGTGATGTGTGAGAGGGTACTTATTAAGTAGGAGTCTATTCAAAGTACTGGTTAAAAGCTGCGATTCTAGTTGTTTGAATCATTTAGCACTACAGTCAAAGCTGAATATAATGATGTTTTTGTTTTATCTAAAAAATATCAGTATATCAAGATATCATTATATCAAATTATCTTTATTTAACGATATAATAAAATAAAAATATATAAATCGATATATACAAATTAATACAAAACAAGTTTTATAATTCGATACTATAATATATTATCAAATCAAATATTATTATTACAATTATAATTCATAAATTATTTTAAACTAACTTGCTTTTTACTATTAAAATTATGTAGCATTACTTGACTTCATAAAGAATGAATTTCCATAAGAT